GCACACACACACACACACACACACACACACACACATATATATATATATATATATATATATTTTTTTTTTATAGATACCTTGAGTATAGAGGAGCAAAGACAACGGAGACATCTGTGGGGTCATCAGTGAAGCAGTTATTTCCTTTTAGGTGTAGCAGCAGAGTTTGTGTATTTACAGCATCATATATATCGGGTGCTGTATTTTTTAATATATATTCTGCTTGTTTAATTTCTTCTTTTGTTAATAATCTTAATACTAATAAAGTTATATGTAATTTATCTTTACTAACAAACAAATTCTCATCTATTCCTGGATATTTTGTTGCAAGAACGAGGTGTCTATACACCTCAAATCTTGTTTTTATTTCAGGTGTACATAAAGGAAGAGATATAAAGTGAGATACAGGTAAATGTATTCTCATTTCTGCTGCTAGCTGCTGCAGCTTCTTCTTAGCTAAACATAAACGTCTTTCTGTGGGGCCCCGTGCATGCAGCAGGATTTCTCTTTCGTTTGCTGCTGGTATCTTGGGGCGAGCTGTCGATACACCCAAAGAGTCAAGCAACTTATAAAGGGGAATTTCTTTGTTTTTTTTACGTGTTAACCGACGAAATATAGATACAGGTAAAGGAATATCTAGACTCCAGCTTTCTCCCTCTTTTGCTGCTCCGCATGCAGCTATATATTCAGCATCAAGAGCATCTTCCTGCTGCTGTATTTCCTCTGCTGTCAACGATACATCTTCTTTTGTATTCATTGCCTCACAGCTGCTATCGTGAGCATCTGTATTCTCGCTTTCAGAAGAGAAAGAAGAAACTGACAAGTCGCTGGCGTCTATATCTTTTCGGTCTCGTTGCTTTTGCTGCTGCCTCTGCTGCTGCTGTTCTCTCTCTGCTGCTTCTGCTGCGCTTAACCCCCTCTCACCTCCGCCTTCAACATACGCCTCGAAATCATCAGGATTCCACTCCGCTCTGTTAAGAGCTGCGGCATCCCCCGGGAGCCGCAGCAGGCGGTAGTTGACGCCTCCTATGCAGTGTCGTTCGTACTGAGGCCTCTCTAAACACTCTGGAATGCGAGCTCGGTGTCGTCTACCTCTTGGAGGCATCGCCTGCGTGCACAAGTGACGAGGAAACGAGAAAACGCTAAGAGGGTCAAGCTGCCGCGGCGGGCTCAGACGCAACCACAAGGCCAAGGGAGGCACAAAAACCATCAGAATGAAGTATTATGAAAAACAATTTCCATTTCCTCGTGCAAGACACACCATCTGTTGAATGTGAAACACACAAGGAAGAAGGCATCGGCTAATCGAACTGAAGGAGGGGGGAAGGAGAGTCCAGCCAGCCCCGACCAACAGAGCCTTGATGAACACAAATATAAAATGCTCAAGAAAAAGATTTTGAAAAATTTGCATTAAATTCAAATAAAACAATACATACACGTCGTTTCACTCGTCGACGGGGAGCTAGGGTTTAGGGTTTTGGGTGTACTTGCAGGCGATACCAGCACTGCCGTTGACCGGGGTGTTCAGTACAATATATTGAGGAAAATTTGTGGTTAAACGCGGCTTTATTTCTGATATTCTTGAAAAATAAACAACTTACACTCAAAGGCAGCATGAAACAGCCTCTGGTTTCGCGGGATTCCTTGGCTCGCCTCCAAGCAGACAAGAAAGATGAAATGGCCCGATGCAGCGTCAAAATATTGAATCTTCGGCGAACATGCAGCTCTGTGAGTTCCTAAAGATCATTAAAATCTAAATATTTAATTTCTCATGAACGAAATGCCGTTTTTCCAGGCGAAACGCGACCTGCAACGCGCCAGCCTCAGCAGCACTCTTGCACGAGCTGAACTGTTGACGAAGGAAGCGGAAAGCGCAGCTCTCGAGCTCCAAATTTCCGAGTTTTCTGCAGAGAAAGCAGCTCTCTTGAGAGGTACAGTATTTCTTAGCAAGAGTTTCGTAGCCTGCTGAGTGTGCTGCTGCTGCAACCTGAACTGTGCGGCAGCTGCTTCTGTTACGCCATAGAGAGAGGAGCTCACGCTGCTACTGTTTCAGAGCTTGAGAGAATAAAAACTTCTTATAAAAGAACATCTGATGGGCTTACATCCCACATGCAGTGGGTTTTTTTTCCTTTTCTTCTCTCTGTACAGTTCAGAGTCAATGCAACCCCAGGCGGCTCACATCTCTAGCAGGAGCTATACGTCAGCAGCTGCAGGAAAGAGCCGCGTGGGTGTTGTTTTTTTTTTTTTTTTTTTTTTTTTTTTCCCTTTNTTTTTTTTTTTTTTTTTTTTCTT